CATTCGCCTCCGTCTCTGCGGCGGTGGCACGGTATGTGCGGTACGGTGCGGTGCGGTGCGGTCAAAGGGTCTCGAGGGGGCCATTGATTGGTGTGGGCCCGAAACTTGTCCATTCACCGGATGATGGATCCACGAGCCATTTGTTTCTCGCCTGCCTTTGGACGACGACGTGAAATTCTATAGTGCCGCCTGCCAACTGCAGCCGGAGTGCGTCTTGCTACTCTCATGCTGCCAGCCGTGCAGCCCTATCTAGCTTGATGCAAATATTTCCTCTCGCCCATTGATGCCGCAAAGTCTGATCTATCTCGAGACATATTTGCCGCCTTGGAATCTTTTTTTTTTCGGAGCTTGAGCGCCGTCCGAGTCTCTTCGCTGGTCCCGGGACAAGACAATGGGGAAAAGTATGAGGGGGCTGCCGAATGACCTTGGTCGGCCGAGACGGTCACGGCGCTGCAGCAGTGTCGTGCGTGATTCCTCCTACGTCATTTACACACCCTCCAGGAACGATTCAAGTCAGCGCCTCACAGCTTCCCTGCAGCACAGGCCACGCCGAAAGTCGTTGTAAGCCCGACCTTCCCGAAGCCCTATCAAAAAAAAATTTATTCGGGGCGCCTCGCCGGTCGGTTTCGCCGGGGATGTAGACGGGATTTCCCTGCGACACTATTCCCGCCAAAGACGGCCTTAAATGTGAATACCTATTAATACAGAGGGGTGAACCCTGGAGAAGCGTTTTTGCCTTGCACACGACTCCCAGTCCCCCATACTGTATGGTCTAGAAGCCGCCGAGAGCCAGTGCCGACTGTGGCTGTTTCCCCGTCTCGCGGCAACCCGCGCAGACCCAGGCCAAGCAGAATCGGAATGATTATACAATTTGAGCCTCAATGGCAAGCCACCGTGCGTGATGATCTCCGATGGTCCCGTGTCCTGCGAGATGTCCTCTTTGGCGACCGTTTCAGCATACCAAGACGGGTGCATCGTCTTGGTGCGACCGTGCCTAGACTTATAGATTTGGCCAGTGCTCGTCCAAGGCTACTTGGCACCTTGGATAAGATTGTGATCGGAGGACAAGTCGGGCAAACGGACAATTACTATTTCGGACCTGGGAATATTATCGCCAGCCGCCGTATAACATCAGCATCCGCAAGAGCGGCGTTACGACGTTTAGTTTGTCAGGGCAAGTCAGCACACGACCTCTGTCCTCCTCCATACAGACGCGGCGTGGGAACGGGCGGAATGCAACGGCACACTGCTGCCGAGTCTGTCTGACAGCTCAGGGTTCTCGTCTGCGGGTGGTTCCGGAACAGTGCATCTAAAATCTGAATCGCGGGACGCCCGCAAAGGACGACGTTGTAGTATGAGGGATTCTCTCCTCCCCTCCCCCCATCAAAAAAAAACCCACAAGTCCCACGCGATATTATGCCGCAAATAGCGGTCTGCATACTAGGGCGAAAGATTCTAGAATCTCTATGATTCTTCAGCGCAATTGTCGTTGTTGCAAAGTTTCCACCACAGAGCTTGTTTGCAGCGGGGCACCCACTCCCAAACGCCACATCCCATGTGCATATCTCCATGTAGCCCGTTCTCGCTGCGGGGACTGACATCGAGCTGGAATCGCATTGATCAATCCGTATTTGGGTAGTGTAAACAACATTCCGTGAATAGGAAAACAAACCGTAACTGAGTTGGTCCTGATGGAGTGCGATACGGCGCGAGGCCAGGGCCGTAAGCCGTTGCGACGAAGTATGGAGGCATGGTACCTTGCCGAGCTAGCCAGCCAGCCAGCGCGCCGCTATCGCCCTGCACGATGCGATAGCGGGAGCGTGTTCCAGCGGGGTCTGCCGTTTGGCCGCTCTGGCCCGGGGAGGCAAAGCACTGAGTCTCGGCTGCTCCATTGCGCTCGCCGCTGACCTCGGCTCTTGACCGAGCAAAGGCGGTGTTATGGTAGACAACCCCGGCTGGGAGACGGGACCTTTGCCATGGCAACCGGTGGAGGCGGGCCGCGCGACTCGCGCTCGTCGTCGAGAGGCGATCGTCGCCGTCGCCGGCTGCTGTCCGTGTGTCTACGACCCTTACGCGGTGGCGGCGAGGGTGAGGCAGGCGGGCGAGAGCGGGACCGGCTAAGAACAGCCAATGCCAAGGTCGGAAATCGATAAATCGGAGAATCCCAGAGGCTCAAAAGCGTGGAATCGATCAGAAAAGTCGCCTACCTATTGCGTGACTAGCGCACGAGCCACCCGCGAGTTAATTCCTGGGGGCCTAAGCTTTTGGGCAAAGAGCCTGGAGCCGCCGCCTGCAGGCAACAAGTGGCATGCATGCTGCGGCAAAAGAAATCGCTCTCCCACGCGCACCCCTGCGTTTCTCCACCGTGGGGTCGCTGCAAGCCTGCAATGCATCGGTGAAGGCTCATCATCCGGCTTTTGTTTTTTTTTGTCGGCCAGCGAGAGCCAATTTCCCAGAATGGAGTCTCTCTCAAAGTTCAGCTTCATGCCGGACATCCTCGGATATTGCCCATCGTATCAAATACTAACAAAGCCGGCTCCGTTATCTCCTCCATCGTCTCCTCCATCGATAATTTGGGGGTACGACAACAAGGAGAGACCAGAGGGTGGGAAATTTACAGCGCAGCAGCATGAACATTGCCCATCTCGCTTCTATAATCCCCAGCGACCCCCACCTCTCATTTCGCCCCTTCGCGCTGAGCCGCGAGACGCACGATCGAAATCGAAATCGAATCGCGAACGGCCGGTTCTGTGGGGTGCACTCTTTGTCGCCAAAAAAGCCAAATCCAGCTTATTAGCCTACATTCCCCCAACGTCCATCTAAAAAGTTTTGAAACACGCCCACCCGGGAGAATGAACGAAACGAAACAAACTATACCAATTTTTTTTATTCCATCGTGTCCGGTTCTCTACGACGGATTGCCCCATACTCTATCCCATTCTCTCGCTCGACACGCCGTTGCTCGTCCGTCCCGTCCCGTCCCCCAAAACTCCCCTCTCCATTGGTTCGGCCTACACGGAGCAGTGGCCGAGCCAAGCCCCGGGAGTAACACTCTGATCGCTCATGTCTCTGTCGATCCTGTCTTGGCCAAGTCGCCGGGCTCCAATGACTAAGACAACACTCTCGTTGTTCTGGCACTCGATGCATGCAAGAAAGGGAAGGTGAGTACACATACACGTAACCTTCAGGCGCAGCAGCCGCTGCACCCAGGGCCCAGCCGAGCCCAGCCCGTCAGATCACTTGGCCCAGAACCTTATGCTCGTCCAAATGTCCTCATCGCGGTCCCTTTTTTTCCACCTTGGCCCAGACCCTCGAATTACCCTTCCGTTGGGATTGGGAAAAAGAGGATGCCCAGCATGGGCCCCGAGTTTATTTTAGCTGGACCCCGAGTTTAGGTGAAACAGCCGCGGACAGAAACCTTGGCTGTGCCTCCTTCGTGTTCTTTTTGATCATGATCTGAGCTTTCTTGCACAAATCCCCCTCTTGGTGTCTGTCTTCGTTTGCTGTATATCTTGGCAATGTTTTGGGATGGGATGACAAGACGGGAAGTGGTTCCTTTCGGTTCCTTGTGCCACGTCGCTGCAGAGAGATGATAGAGACAGAGAGAGGCGTAGAGAGGCACAGCCGTACCCAAATTTGAGAGCGGTCGCTGCGGTAAAACAGCCACCGTCAGAGAGCTCGTTGCCGGTCCGTGGCTCAGAATGAGACTTGAACTGATGCGCGGTCATTGGATGGATTGGAGTAAGCCGGGCTGGCTCGCTGACCTTACCTCACCGACTGTATGTTTGTTGTCTGTCCACTTGACTGTGTTGAAACTTGACAGGGGGTTTTGCTCTTTTGTTTACATTCATTCTAATCCGATTGCTTTCCCAAACCTCTGTCGGTTTGTTTCCCGTTTGAGGCAGTGGGTACCTCTCTAAAAGGTTACGCAGGGCCCAGACTTTGGGTTTCGTTCCTTGTCCCATTTTCATGTCGCACGGTGTTGAATCCCCCTCGCCGCCCATGGAACTAGCTAGAGTGCCAAGCTGTGTCTCGGCAACTTCTGTGTTGCCTGGCCCCCTTTCATCATCTGATGTTGTTGCTGGCCTGGCCTGGCCTGGCCGCGGAGCCGGACACCGGGCACATTCCTCTTTCGCTGTAAGCCAAGTACGGGCCAGTCTTTGTAGATGCGGCAGCCAGATCACTCTCCGCATGCCAACCATGTGTAATAAACACCTTGTCTATGAATCATTATGCACACTTGTCGGGGTTTATCCTGCACGGAGATTTTCCTTGGCTGTTAGTTCCCGGCCGCTTGGCTCGGCTCGGCTCCTCGCGGCTGGCTAGCTGGCTTGGCTTTGGCTTTTATATTGAGAAGGTTTGTTCGTCTTGTCAGAAGCGTCTTCCCACATTGAACTATAAGCAAACTTGGGGCCTGATATAGCTTTGACGAGTATTGCCGGTGAATAATAAGTAAGTAGGGCTTTGGCATTTCTATACGATTTCTTAGCTGCGGGCATTTCTATCAGGCCTGAACGCAAATGCTAAAAGCCGGTCTAGAGTATCATGAACTATGTCGATGATTGATATCTCCACATTAGGGGTTTGGCAGCTAGGGTCTAAAGTGGTTGCATTAAATCTGCTCGCGACCCGTCTCTTCCGTGGTGGAAATTGCACTAGAGAAATTATATTCCGTAGTCAGGGGCAAATGGACCCCCTAGGGGAACCCAGAGACGACGTAATGCACGCCGCACGTAGCTTATATTCTTATCTCCTCTGCCATTGAGGGCCAGCCAGAGCCAGGACTGCTGATACCCACATCATGGAGAGAGAAAAAAATGACAGTTCGATCAAGAAGCCGAGATCCGGAAGGTATGGAGTCTCGCTAGTACCTATGGAACCCACGAGCTACAGTCCCTGCCGGCCGTAGTTTATGGTTCGCGGGATCCTCTGTGGCAGGCATTTGCTGTTCTACAACTTTGCCCGGCCTCGTCAACATCAAGATCCAGGCATCAAACACAGCGTGAGTGGTTTAGTGGTAAAATCCATCGTTGCCATCCGCAAGATTACCTCGATGGGTCCCGTGTTCGATTCACGGCTCACGCATTGCTTCCTATCTTTTTGCCCTTCAAGCCTTCTTTCCGCCGCAGGACGTAACTGACCATGCGTGTCTTTGGTGCGCTGATGGGCGGTGCGCTGCGAGGGCAGTTCGTGGCCTACATACAGGGAGCGTTTTTTAACTGCCAGAGCGCCACCGTTTTCGGGTCTGTTGTCTTTGCCCTGGCGTAAAACACTAGCTCGAGGACATCAGTCTTTTTGGCACCTAATTTGAGTTCCTAAATACTATGTAAGCTACGTTTGCGTCTTAGGCTGAGCTCAGTTCGGGTTTGGCGTGTTGCTGTTGCGGGAAGAAGCTGCTTCTCATGCCAGGTTGAGACGTTAGTACAAATCCTATTTACAGGCCCCGAGTCTCGCTCAGGGGCAGATGATACCAGTTTACGCGCGGAGAAGAGTTTATAAAACTATACCCGGCACATGAAGTTGGCAGAGCAAAAGAGATATCGACGCAACTTCGCGTTCAACTTTATTAAAACTTGCCCCTGTAGTCTCGAGACCTCATGTTTGCCGGTCTAAGTAGAGAGTTGACTACCAGCTTGAACACCGAGGTTGTTGAGGCCACAGCACTAAACTCTTAGCTCGATATATCCGATGTTGTGGATTAGAGAGAAACGCCAGCCGAGGAAGGCAGTTGCCAGTGGTTCCAGAATCAAGCCTCAGAGCAATAGCCAATGTAAAGTCAAATTGACATGCCAATCTTACCTAATAATCGCTAGACTTTCGAGCAAAGTACCCTGGGGTATCCGACAGCAAGATTTGGACAATCCAACAGATACATTTTCCGTCTGGAAACCCAGATCCGTAGCTCGGCACGGCGAGACCGAGTTGCCAAAACTCGTCTAAGGCATAAGCGGCTTTTATCTGCGGTCAGCTGGCTTCTTTTGTAGCAACCTTCTTTTTAGGTTGCCTCGTATGAGCCATATTCCAAGACTCCATAGCCTGTGGATTGGAGCGGCTATGGAGGAGCCATCTGACCCTTTCTAGAGTACGCTTTCTCTTCAAGGCCTTGGTTTGGGCGTGACCGCCATCACTCAGCAGGCTATCTCAGCTCCTCCACTGGGCACGTTCTTGGTAGATAATATCCCCAGGGAATGTACTTCCTGGCGTTGCCGAAGGTGCAATGCGTAAACGTGGCTTTCGGGGCTTTGACAAGAAAAATCCGTAAGGGCAAATTAGGATACGAACGCACGAAAGTGAAGGACACAAATTAATGTATCTGGGTCAAATTGAACTTACTTACTTCCTAGGTTCTTCACTAGGGCAAGAAGCTAGAAAAAAGACGCCACCAGTTTGATCACAAGCAGGAGGCAAAGCCTCGAATAAAGCGAAGCTCTTAGCTGGGTTGCTTAGATTTCTATCTTTTCGACACCCCTGGCGAGGTATCCGGGTCGTGATACGAACTCTCTCAAACCCATGACTGTATTCCAAGAAAACAAGAAAAAAAGGAAAATAACTAGGGCAAAGGGCAAAGAAAGCGAACACCTGAGTTGAAACAGTGACAAATATTGTGAAGATAGAACCAAAATGACATTACTAGAATGTGTTACTCCAACCAACCAACTACCGCGTTATCGACACATACATGCAACAATAATATAACGCCAATAAGCCTGCCTCTACGAGGGGGGAAGCAGTTCCAAGAGGTAGAGCCAACGAAAGAAAACCGTGATAGAAAAGAAAGATAAAGAAATAGTGTAGAGATAACCGCTGCTCGTCAAGAGGGTTCACCCCTTTAGTCAACCGGAGTTCTGAGCCTTGACGAGTATATGAACGTGCATGTCAAGCAAGCAGCAGTATATTCACCCAGCAAAAAGCAACGATACAAAACTAGTTGCTCGTGGGCTTCGCTCCCCTTCATAAGTAATGAGCATAAATCCTCCTGCACGGCAGAAACTCCGCGATCTCATGCGTATGAGTCAGGACTCCGACGGAACCGCCCGGCTAAACAGGCTGGACAGTCAAGTGGTCAGGTCAAGGCAGACGGACAACAGCTTGACAGACAAAAGCGTGGTAGACAGCTTGACAGGCAGCAACTTGACAGATAACAGCCCGACCGACTACAGCGTGGCAGACAGGCATACGGACGGGACACACATACAATAGTTAAATGAAGATAGCTACCTAGGTAGGTAGCTAGAGAGAAACACAGCCAGGTAACCAAACGGCGTCGCACCTTGCAGACTCAAAGCCCCCGAGTTTGGGATCATATTCCAGCCTGCTACGAAACCCGTAACCGAGAAACCACCCTACCCCTATCAAGAGCAGAAGAGTTGAACCGGACAACAGCAACAACAACACAAACACGAGGACTCGAAACGGCTTCGACGCAATATCAAACAGCACACACCAACAAACACGAACAAGACAGGCACACACACATAGACAGAATCTCAGCACCAGCAACGGATGCAGTCTATTTCCCAGGCAGTACGCCAAAGTAAGGCAAGGTAGGTAGATACGGAATACCTGTCTAGCCTTTATAAACCTGAGGTAGATGGCATCTCTCTCTCTCTCCCTCACACACACATAGAGAGACAATCACACACCAAAATTCCACACGGCCCACGTATTGGTGTAATTCTCCATCAAAGGATGCACACAACGAGCCAGACAGAGACAAACACAACAAGGAGAGAAACAAGAAATTAGATAAAAATCTGTTTAAAACTGGAGATAGGCCGGTATGGTATAGCATAGGGAGCAGACACAAATAGATGAAAAAGAAAATTGACCAAAACAAGCCAAGCCAAGCCAAGCCTAGATGAGAAAACAAGTAGTCCTGCCCTACACAGTTATCCCTCTCCCCTGAAAAACAAAAAAACGCCGTCGCTTAATGCTTCGCAGTGACCTTGTCACCGGTAAGTTTCTCAACATACGTCTTCGCCCTATAGTTAGGGGAAAAGAGTACAAGTCAGTATGGATATATATATATATATATACATATGGGAAAACACTGTCGGTGGACGAGACGAAAAAAAACTCACATGTCGCCCATGGCCACCATGCACACCGTCTGCCAGACGCCCAGGCCGATGCGGGGGGTGACGCCGCGGTACAGGCCCTTGACGCCGTTGGTCTGGTAGATGTACTTGAACGTGTTGCCGACCGTCATCTTCTTGGGGCGGTTGGGGTCGTCCTTCTTGCTCTGCATCTCGACGCGGATGACCTCGATGGGCTGGTTCCAGGCTGAGAGGCCGCCGCCGAGGGCCGAGGCCGTGATCTTCTCGACGGCGCTCAGCTTGTCGCCGTCCTTCTTGCCCGTCAGGTCGCGGATCCCTTGCTCGGCCAGGCGGCTGAGGCCGAAGCGCGAGCCCCAGTTGGTCATCTGGCGGATGGCCACGGCGTTGACGCCTTTGTTGATGCCGCGGATGCCCTCGCGGCGGTAGATGCCCATGAAGGTGGCCCAGGTGCCCGGCACCTTCTGGCCCGCCGCCGCCACCTTGTGCTTGGTGATCTCGACCGTCTTCATGCATGTGCAGAAGCCCATGGTGGCGTACGCCTGCGCAACACCGCCCGTCACGCCGCCCAGGATGCCGCTGCCGAAGTCGTTGGCGCCCGCCGCGCGCGCATAGTATTCGGCCTCGGACGCGACAAAGAGCAGCACGGCGCCCTTGGTCGACGCCTCGATCCAGGCCCAGGGAATCAAGCCCTGGTAGACTGTGCAGCGGCGCCAAATGTTAGAGACAGACCGGTGATGGATGTTTATCGCAACTACTCACATCCAAAAACGCCGCCGCGGCTCCAGATGCGGCCCAGGGCCGTGCTGAAGCCGTCGCCACGGTTGGCAGCCATGGTGGTCTTGATGACCTCCAAGGGCTGGCCGAGGGTGGTGACCTCGAACATGTTGAGGCCGGCACCGAGCAGCAAGTTGGAGAACTTGATGGGCTTCTTCTCCAGCTTGGCGGGCGGCTCGGGCGCGGGCGCCGAGACGGGGGCGATAATGGCGGACATGACGTGGCTGGTGTTGCTAGTACGGGGGCCCTGACCAAGGGAAGATGGTGCTTCGTCGCGATGTGTGCGTTGAGGGGGGGGAAAGGGAGAAGAGAGAGGGACCGGCGGTACGAGGCTGGCGGGCTTGGGGTAGCTATGAACTGCGTAGACCTAGGAAGGTAGCGCGAACGGAGAGTACTGTGTACGGATGCGGCACAATGGAACCAATCCAATCGGCAGACGAGCGAATCAAGGGAGAGATGGGGGGAGGGAGTGCGTGCGACAGTCGAGTATAGTCGAGTGTCCGTAGACGAGTGGGGCTCCGGCTATCGTTGAAGGGGAGAGAGGCTGATGCTGATGAGATTGAGATCGGGCTTCGGGAAAGAGGTTCGGGAATCCTTTCTGCGGTCTGCTGCGATGCACGTGTTAGTGTTAGCGAAACCCAAGCTCCGTCACAGGCAGGATTCAACTGCCCAAAATGGCGAGGCCCGAAGGACAAGCCCGTCTTAGCTAAGAAGCTAGGGACCTTAGGCGGTCTTGGGGGCCGCGGCCTGCGCCGGCCACCCACGCCGCCTTCGGACGACGAGTGGAATTTGAACTTACATGCAATGCGATGTGTTGTGCCGGTCAGTGGTCAATGTTCGGGTGGTTATGGAAGTATGCGAATGTTTGAGAGTTTTTGGTTTGGTTTTTGTTGTTGTCGTTGTCTGCCTACCTTAGGTACGTACTGAGGTGTAGGAGGTCACAGCTTCCTTACCGAGATTCGATCCATAGGTTGATACCAACCGATGGAGATAACCACAGGGGGGTCCTCGGCGATGGGCGTTTGTAGGGACGGGCGGGACGGGAATGGGACCTCCCAAACCAGCTTCACCCTCAAAAAAACATCTACCTAAAGAGGTTCTATCTCTAAGCCACTGCTTCTCTCTTTAGACCACTAAACCCTAGCCATTTCACTGTTGGAGGGCGGGTTCGTGGACGCGCCACCGCCGCTTCTGTTCTGTTCCTTCGTTTTTTTTTCGTGCAGAGCTCGATCGTTCCCGGGCAATCCCCAACAC